AAATAAATAAACAAACAAACAAACAAATAAACAAACAAACAAATAAATAAATAAATAAATAATGTTTTTGTGTCTAATCCCCTTTAAAGGTTATTAAAGTTACTGTAATGGGTGGGGTAGGTGGGGCTCATCAGCCATGGAAGGCAGCCCATCTAGGAGAAGGAAAACTCCGATTTCAAACCTCCACTGCCTTGTGGCTATATCCATTCATGGAAAAGGCTTCAGGAGTTAACCTCGAGGCAAAATCCGGAGCTGGAGTCCCGAAGGCAGCATGTGTCGTTCTGCCAACTCCTGCGACGTTGCTGGAACCAGTTGTATTGGCTCTTGCGTTTCCATTGGACCATTTCAGCAATGTGGAGAGGGGGGAATCTGCTGCTTGGGTAACAGCCTATCCTCCATATTACCTTACCCAGGCTTCATGCTCTGGAGAGGACACTCCTCGATTCAGAGCATGTTACCATAGTCTCTCCAGACTGAAGGATGCCTATGTCAATGGGTGTCAGCCCATAACCATGGTAGAGAATAATGTTTGGAGGGATGGAGAGGTCATCTCCCCATGTGCACAGTAGGAAGGAAAAGAGCTTGTAAAGATTGCTGTCCCTACATAATACAGGAGGAGTACTGTTTTGCTAGCAGTGCCAACTCGTCACACAGTTTCCATTTCAAGGCTACACGCAGACCCGAGTGCTGGATGTTGAGATCTAATTCTTGTAACAGCCATCTTTATTTTATTCGTTTACAAAATAACCAGTCTTCCTCTTTATGTACCTGATAACTGCCTTTTATTCAGAACAGTGAATCAAAAACATGAACAGGACTCATCCTGAAATTCTATATGATGCCTAATGAGGTTTCTGAGATGCAAAAATTAGATTTTCAGAAAAATGAAGGATCCAAAGGTCCATCCATGCTGGTCTGTGCATATAATGCTTGGCACCCAGCTCAGCATTGAAAATAAGCCTGGCGAACCTTTCTGCACAGATGTAATGCAACTGATTGATAAGCTGCTTTTGGATTTGAAGAACTCTGAAAAGAACATTATATACGTTGATAGTGATCTGCCTCTGGACTGCCTTCTTTCATCAGGTTGCCCAGCTGATACATGAGATCTACAATAAATACTCGAGGAGGAAGCAGAAGTCCAGGTATCCCCAAGGGAGAGTCATCCACTAATTTGACCTCATTCCATGCTCTGTTGTACTCACCACGGACTAAGCTACAGGCAACGCCAATCCGATCTGCCAGAGCCTAAAGAAAGAAGGAGACATGTGAATATCTGCTAGGATATTTGCCTGTTGCTATCACACTTATAGAATATCCTTTTCTCAATGGTTCACAATTTAACATACTGCCCTTTAACGGACAAAAACACAAAAGTGAAAATGGTAGAGGTAGGAAAAAAGAAAATAACCACGTCCGCCCACTGTTGTTGTCTCCATTAGAAATGGGACATTCATATTCATATCCCTGGGGATTACGAATACAAATATCGGCACCAGGAAAGTCCAGTCCCCACTCCCCGAACTGGCAGGTCCAATTACTGGTCACTATGCAACATGTGCAGCCCACATTGTTCATGCCAGTAATCGAAATAGCCTAGTCATCGCTTCTCTGCATATCTGACCTCTCTGGTGAGGAGGCATGATGACAAATCTCTTTGCTCAGCTGTTGAGCAATCAGTTGCGCAGGGAGGCAGGGAAGTGCCAGCAGGGCTACTTCTGCAATTAGCATGATGGGAATGACCAGTAATTGGACCTGCCAGTTTTGGGGGTGGAGGGACTACATTTTCCAGGCACCTGTGATGCTGATATTCATATTCATATCTGCAGGAATATGAATACAAATATCCCATGTCTAGTCTCCATTCATTCTGGCATTGTTCTGGATATTTCTGGTGTTTTTTTGTTGGTGGTGATTTGAATAGATCATTCTGGTATTTGCATCCATAGAGGGGGAGGATCTTTGTTGCTGGAGGTACTGCGTTATACTGAGTCATCCTGGTACCATCTGCCCACACACATCCAGAATCACTGCTAATGTATCACTCCTAACAAACTGCCCTCCCCTGTTCCTTATCCACGCTCTCCTTAACTCTTCAGGTTCTCTTCTCTTTCCTCCTTGTTTTACTCATGCACAGGGCATGGAGAATGACCAGTAGTAAAATGCCCACCAGGAAATTAAATGACACATGCTTACAGAGTGGAACACAGTTCACGAGCAGATCCTGCACAGGAGCAAACCAGCACAAAGCAGAACAAACTTGCACCACCATCTAGGTGAACAGCTGCAGACAGAAGACACCTCTAGAGAGTGGGGCAGTGGAAGTGTCAGCTTCCAAAGGTTGATCCAAGGACACAGAAAAGGCATGTGGTACTGCGGGTGACTATGGGCCAGTTTATCCATTTCTCAGGATGGAGCAGTACTGCACTACATTATACTACCTCTGACTGTAGGTGGGGATTTGACTTTTAAATGTCCCTTAATCTAAACAAAACAAAATTGCTGTGCATTGTGAATCAGCATTTCAGAAGGATGCCTATCCCTTTTCCTTACATACTGTTTTTCCACACATGAGGAAGGGTGCATATTTTTATCTGGAAGAAAACATTACTTCCTGCTTACATAAACTTCCCTGTGACACAATGTGGTACCACAGTATTTTTGTCCAGGCTGGACCTACGCCACATCAGAAGACAGGCAGTGATATCCAGCTGCTCCTCCATGCCACAAATTCCTTGTCTATGGGAAACTAGTAACATCGGAGAAAGGGTTTTGCTTTCCCATTTAGGTGTATGTATTGCTGTTCCAAAACACTTCCCAAATGTTATCTTGGGTTCTTTTTAAGGAGAAAGGTGGAATAAAAATACAGTATGTTAAATAAAGAAATAAAACAGTAACATCCATAGAACAACACAGTAAGGCAGATGAATATTGTGATCTTCATATTGCAGATAGGTTGTGACACAATGGTTAGCCTCTCAGTCGGTCCACAGTATAGGTGAGATTTGCCCAGAGAATGTCAGGTCCACAGTAAAGGTGAGATTTGCCCAGAGAATGTCAGGTCATGGCACTATACCACTTCCCAAGTATGGTTATTTGTCTTACAGCATAGCCTTGTCTTAGCTTTGTTCACATCTCTTCACTAATGATTTAAATGGTGTTTATACTTTATATTACAGGAATGTGTGGTTGTTGGTTTGTTGTTTTTTTTGGAAATCAGTACTGACTAAACTCGGAATGACCAAGATATACAAATAATGTTTGAACAGTATGACAAGTTCATACTGAAATGGATGTGCATTAGTATGCGCTATCTGCTCATTAAAAATTAAACATGTGCCATTAAAACAGTTCTGTAATTCTAAGTAATTTGCTTTACCTTGAAAAGCAAAGCTCGGTGATAGAAGGTCCCTTTGCTGATCTTCCCAACAGGCACAACATTACATTTGAGTTCAAATTTAATTTCACTTATATGAAGTTCCCAGCTGAATTCATGTAACTTGTCTTTTTCAATTGGACCACCCATCTTTTCACCAACAAACCTATTTAAAAGCCGACAAGTTGAATTAAATTGAGCACTTTCATCAGGCTTATTAACACTGTTCTTACAATGATATTTCTTTCAGTTTCGACAACTCTAAATCACAAACCTAGTATGGAATCAAGTTAACAGGGCAGTATTCCAAATGAGATGTGGAGGAAAATGGTGGTCTGGACTGAACACCAACTGCAGCTTCTCTGCTGCTCAAAGTAGCATGAAAAATATAGGTGAAAGGAAAATATATTTCAAGAAAAGGTACAGATGCCCCTGCCTTTCCTGATAAGCCCCCACCTCTCAATTTTCCTGTCCCTATAGAATATTGTCAAAGATTTCCCTTTTGCAATTTGTTTGGGATTAGAAAGATATCACACTGATGCTACAAAGTGGGATAACACTGGACATCTACAAGAGCCACCATTTCCAGAGGTGGCACAGCAGTCTGTCACAAAAAAGAAATAGACAAGTGTAGCGTTCACCCTTTGTTAGGTAATAAGTCATGTATTATTCATTTTCTATGCTAATATGGTTGAGAGGCGGAGTTGAGAGAGATATTAAAAAGGCGGAGCCTGAGAGAAGTCAGTCAGAGAGTCAGAGGAGTCTGTGTTAGGAATCTGAGAGAGGATAGTTTGGGGTCTGAGGAGTGATTAGTAACCTGTGATATTTAATATAGAAGATTAATATTGTTTTTAAGAGCCAATTAAAAACTTGGCTCTTTAGGCAGGCCTTCCCTCCTGTCAATACTTTTTTATTATTATAATTTTCTGTTTTCCCATCTTGAGCATTATTAAGCATTACTAATAACTATTGTTTAGAATTGTTTTTAACTGTTTTAGTTTACAGTGTTTAATGAAACCCGCCTGGAATAGACTTTGTCTAAAAGGGCGGGATAGAAATCTAATAAATAAATAAATAAATGAATAAATAAATATTGATGCTTGGTGAAACTGAAAGAATATGCTTATGAATTATCCTAGAAACCATCTGTAATCAATAAACCTGTTCTATTAGAAGTCAGTACTGAATGGACCTTTGTCTTTCCTAAGTAAAGTACTTTGATAATGAAATCAACAAGTGGCAGTATGTCAAGAGATATTGGTTTGCTTTTGTGAGCTCTGTCTTTGGGGAGACAAACAGGCCACAAGGGGCAAATGTCACAACTGGTGTCCAGCAGCGGAATATGAAAGAATCCAGTAAAGCCAGAGTTGAAAGTGAATTCTTTTTGAGTCAAGGGCACCTTTTTAGTCAGAGGTCTGTGGTGAAGAAGTGGGTGACCTGCTAGAGCTTTTGTGGAGGAGCTTAGTGGTGGGGCTTCTGATCCCAAATCTAGGGGGAATAAAGATAGGGAACAACTCTGAAGGAAAAATTCCTGTTTATTTACCTCAGGATTTGGAACACCAGTGGGCTAGCCTATAATCCAAAGCTCTGAGAGAAGGAAGCGCTGGTGGATAAAATCGGAAGCCAGAGGTCAAAGCAGATCTGAGGAGATAGAAGAAAAAGCAGAGGCTTGAGATATAAAATTATTTCACTGACTGGAATTAAAAGCAGAAAGAGTTCATTTTAAAAATCAGTACAATCACTGAAGACTAATCATCTCAGAAGTAAACATGCCCCCCCAAATGTTGCCAAAAGGGAAGTCGTGAGGCAGAGAGTTTACCTCAAGAAATGGAGGGACATGGAGACCCTTTAACTCCAATGGAACAGGAGGAAATTGATGAGGGTGCCTCAGAGAGACAAAGGGATTTAAGCACCCAAGATTGTGAGAAATGGAAATTACAACAAGAATAAATTGAAGGAATTTTGAGAAAAAGCTAAGGAGCTAGAGATTAAAGCCAGAACTGAGGAGAAAGCTAAGGAGCTAGCGCTCAAGGAAATGGAAATTAGAGAAAAAGCCAGAGCTGAAAAGAAAACTCAGGAACTCTAAGATGAGCAAGAGGCCAGACAAATGGCATTTGAGCAAAAAAGCAGATGGAGAGAAATGGAATGAAGACGAAGAGAAATGGAATTTCAAATATAAATGAAACAATTAGAATTAACTGCTCAGAATAACAATAACAATAACATCTCTAGTGAGGGAAATCTGTCAAAGATCGACCTAAAGAAATTTCCCCAATATAGGAAAGGAGATTGCCCTGAATTTTTCCTTATTTCATTTGAGAGAGCGTGTTGGGACTTTGATATCAAGGACGAAGAAAGGATGATAGTGCTAAGATCATAAATAAGTGGAGATTTAGTGGAACTGTATTCTCAGATGCTTCTGATGCAGGCTAGAGATTTTGAAGCATATAAAAAGATGGTATATGCTAGATTTGGCATGAATGCAAAACACTTGAGGAGAAAATTTCATTCCCTTACCAAATTTCATTCCCTTACCAAAAAAACCTGAAGAATCTTATTCCCAGACAGGGGCTAAACTGCTTCATTGTTTGGACAAATGGATGGAACGTGAAAATGCCACTTCTCTAGAGCAGATGAAAAATGTGATTGGGTTAGAACAATTTTATTCTATTATGCCTGGGGAATTTAGTTAAAGACAAAAATCCTAAAAATCTATTAGAAGCAGGTGAAACTGAGGTAAAATTTAACAAGCAAAACTGGGACAACAATAAGAGAACCTTCAAAAAAATTACCTCAGTGAAACATCAGGGAAAGAAGGCCAGAGTAGCGCCTTGCCTGAGTTGTCAGGGCCTAGTCCTCTGAAGAGAGGGAACCCTGAGGAAAAGTTTAATAGATAATCTCAGACTGAGTGAAGAAGACAGTGCTATAACTGCGGAGAGTTTGAACATATTCAGTCAAATTGTACTAAAAACAAAAATAAAAATGGAAAAGGTGATGGTCAGACCAAAAAGGTTTGCTGCTTGAAGACTGTGGAAGCCACTGAGGAAAGTTGTAACAATGGTTCTGTCTCCATGGCAACTAGCATGACAGAAAATTCTGATCTGCCACTAGCCAAGGTTGTTCAATGTTTTCTTGTAAAGACAGAAGATATTTTAGTACAGAACCCTGGTGAGGAAATTCTTATTAATAAGAAGTCTTATGTGGGAATGGTTGATGCCTGCTCCAATATAACCTTGTGTCATCCTCATGTGGTTCCTAGAGAACACTGTGTCCTAGGGGACACAGTGACTGAGGCTGTCATTTGCGAGAAGGCCAAGGCCTTGTATGCAGAACTTGTGCAGCAAGAGCCAGGAACCTCAGCCGAGCTAGAAGAATTCAAGGCAAGCAGATTTGAGAGATTCAAAACTAGATCTGGAATCTACAGCATGGTCAGGCATGGAGAGGCTGCCAGTTCCAATGTTCCTGCGGCTGAGGACTTTGCCACGGAGTTCTTGAAGGTCATGACAACACAGGGCTACCTTCCACAGCAGGTCTCCAACTGCGATAAGACCGGGCTGTTTTGGAAGAGGATGCCCAAAAGGACCTTCCTCACTCAAGAGGAGTGCAAGTTGCCTGGCCACAAGCCCATGAAGGATCGTCTTACCCTCCTCTTCTGTGCCAACGCCAGTGGGGACCTGAAGATAAAGCCCTTGCTGGTGTACCACTCAGAGAACCACGGGCTTTCAAGAAGCACAAGTTGAACAAAGGTCAGCTGAGCGTGTTATGGCAATCCAACGCTAGGACTTGGGTCACACGAGTTCTGTTTGTGGACTGGGTCAATCTTGCTTTTGGTCCTGCTGTCAAGCAGTACCTGCTGGACAATGACCTGCCGCTAAAATCCCTGCTCCTCATGGACAATGCTCCTGCTCATCCTCCAGGCCTTGAGGAAGACTTGGAGAAGTTCAAGTTCTTTAAAATCATGTTTCTGCCACCTAACACCACCCCGGTATTCCAGCCAATGGATCAGAACACTTCCAAACCAAACTGTTACAATCAAGGGAATAAATTCTACTCCAGTGACTTTACCTATGGCTAAAGTAAAGATGAACTATAGAGATTGGGTCGGAATTTGGGATGTCGCAATTTCTGATCAAATTCCAGCACCTTGTTTAATTGGGCTAGCTCTCACTAAGCATGTGCAGAGTGCTTGTAGAGTAACATGTTCCCTGGGAGAGCAGTTAAAAAAAGGTACACCAAGGAGCTTTTCAGGCCGATTCCACCAACTTCACCCTGCGTGATTTCTGGAGGAACCACTTTGACATTGTCACCTGTTTGAAGTTGATCAACATAGCCTGGAATGGGATTAGCCAGAGAAATCTTAATTCTACTTGGTGCAACCTGTGGCCAGACTGTGTGGCAACAAGTGACTCTGGTGTTTCTGCGCCTGCACCAGAGTCGACAGTGATGGAGGACATTGTTGCCTTGGGGAGGACCATGGGCCTCGAGGTCACAGAGGAGGACATCTGTGAACTGGTGGAGGGCCATGACCAGGAGCTCTCCACCCAGGAGCTAGTTGAGCTGCAGGCAGAGGCTATGGAGGAGCAGGGCTCTTTGGGAGATGAAGAAGAGCCAGGGGGGGAACAGCTGTCCCCCAGTAAACTGAAGGAGTTCTTAGACCAGTCTTAGCATGCTCTATGTTAAGGGGGGCAGAAATTACCCATTGCAGCAGAAATGGATACTGTAGCAGAGGGAAGCCTGGAAGGAGAAAGTTTCTTGGATAGTCAGCTTAATAGCTGTTCAGAAACTGATCTCATACTTTTTAAGAATCCTAATAAAAATTGTTTTAGACGAATGGTTTTGGCTATGCGGACTATGGAGAGGTTCCTCACGAAGAGGCTGAGATAGGAAGAGGAACCTGCTGCTTCTACCAGCAGTGCCCAGTTGCCTTCTTCTTCCTCCTCGTCCTAGAAGACTGCTGCTGTGATGTGAGAACAGTTCTGACTGCCTCCAGTTTCACTTGTTCACTTTAAAATGTGAAATGTAAAAAGTTTCTGTACTGTTGGTTTCTGTATGTTTATACACTTTCTGAAGAGTTTTGCACAATCCAATGACTGTTAGTGACTGTTTCTGTTCATTTTCTAAGGCAATGTTCCTGCCTCATGTTTACCAATTTTATTAACTACTTCGTAGTTTTATCTTCACATTTTTATATGAAACATAAAGCTTCCTCATGTGCATGTCAAAAAACCCACTATATTGAAGTATGACAAGGCAAAACAGGTCACAATGGAAACTTTGCTCCATAGATTAAGAAATGAATTCCTCAACTATTTACTTTGAATGGATAGCGAATCCAGTCTGGTACTCACTGTGCAAGAGTTACCACCTGTTCTTTGGTGGTTGCCAATGGTAGAATTATTTTGGAAACTTCGGAGATGTAATCCACTAAAATGTGGTCAACAGGAGGAAGCCATATAACCTTTTGAGGAACTTCTTCAACAATTTTAGGCATAACTGGCTCCACTTCTTCTTCCTTTGGTTTTTCTTCTTCTTTTTTCCCTTTCCCTTTCCTTTTGAAAAAAGTAACACAGGTTTTTTTATTAGTTTCTCTCTATAAATCCCTATTTAACTAATAAAGGGCAAGACCTGCCTGCTTCAGAAGACAGAAAGATGTTCTCCTGCCCTTGTTGCTTGGAAAATGCAAGCTACTCTTTGCAATGATATGATACATGGTGTTTATGTTCTATTGGAAGTTGTTGTGCTCTCAAAAATACTTCTGTACAGTACACAGTATTTTCTAGATAGACTTGGCTCCTTACACATACAAATGTATACAACAAAAGAATTAAATTCCTGGTGCATTTTGTCAATTGGCAAGTGATATTATTCAAGAATTAGAGATCTTCAGAAAATACCTTCCTTTCTATCCTACCCAAGTTTTCATTGTCATCTAAACTATATATAGACAGCTACAGTTAACAGCCCTGAGAAAGACTGCAGCAGTTTGAAAAAAGTGAGTCACATTTACCATATGAATCTGTCCACTGTGTAATAATGGGGACAGGTACAGACAGAAGTACATCAATCTTCTCATATATATGCCTGAAACCACTTGCTGGTCCCAACTGGAGTAGACCCACTGAATTAATGGGAAGTCACTAATGTACAATGTACGTAAGTTCCATTGATTCAACGTGTCTATTCTAGATGAAATTAACAACTGGGTTTAGACCAAAGTGTTAAGTTCGTAAGCAATGGGAGTCTACAAATCATGTAAAAATGTTGTGTGGACTGACATGATAGCCACATTATAGGTACCATCACTTCATGATACATTTTTGGGTCAACCCTGGAACCACTGTTCATCCCTCATGCCCAAAGATGGTTTGTTTTAATGAAACAATAGAACCCAAAATATAGACAATATTCAGAAGTAAATCCTAGGCAACTAGATTTACTTATTTATTTACTTTTATTTATTTACAAGCTTCAAGAATTATCACCTCTAGATAGCAGACTGAACAGATGGGCACTAAGATCATCCAATCAGTCCTCCCCATTATGGTGAGACATACTATATTTCTATTTAGATTATAGTAATAATTTCCAAATTTACATTATATGCCATTTAGAAATTACATCTCTCTCTCTCTCTCTCTCTTGTTATAATGCTCTGCTTCTTTTCTGGCAATGAATATATGTCAAACCTAACAAAATGGCTGAAATCTTGTTGCTTATTGCAAGGAAATTCATAAATTTTAGATCATTTCTAGCTTGGAAGTAAAGAGTTCCCACCACAATTCTTAGGGTGGGATGTACCTGCTCGCTTGGTACACGTACACATGGCCCTAAGAATCATGTCAGACACTTTATTTCCCAGTTAGGAATATGTAGGTTAAAAGTTACAGTTTTTTTAATGTAAGCAACAGGATTTCAGTTGCTGTGTTATTGGTTTTTATAAAACTGGTGGAGCAAGTTGCATAAGCAGAACAGTAAAAGAGTCCATGTACTACTGGTCACTGAAGAACAGAAATGCAAATTCTGCCTTTTTAAAAAGTAAAAACTTAAATGCAAGCAAACAACCTGCAAAACAAAAACCTCAAATCCAACAGCAAAACAGTGATAAAGCAGTTGAGCCAGGCTAACACAAAACAGGAATCTCCAAGGCCACTCTCCACTGTAATTCATGAAACCACAGTTTTCTCCTGCACTTCCCCTTTCCCAAAGTTATAGGATGCAGTTATGCTGTTTTGTGAGGACCTTTTTCTTGCTAAAAACAACAAAAGTCCTACATGAACTTTTGTGCAGCTTGATATGCACCAGGGAAGCTTTCTCTCAATGACCGGCTACATGAGTGACTAGCTATGTGGCCAGCTACATAAGTGCCTTTTAGATGAATTGTTATGCATTACTGCTCTAGCTGAGTCTTTGTGATTACCATCTCTCAGAATGGTATTTGTTTGCTCCTTTTTAGTATTTACATACTTATTGTTTTAGCATTAATATTGTCTTTTAATAATGTGAGCTGCCTCTTTATACTCATTGTTCTTAGCTTTTAATGATTTAAACCAGGGAACCCAACCCCTGGGCCGCAGACCAGTACTGGTCCTTGGCCTTGGAAGGACTGGGCCGCCAAGACAGATTTTCGAGGGCCGAAGGAGCGTGTGCCCATATGCAGTCCTGCCCCCTTCACGCATGTATACATGCACTCCTGCATGCACACACACACATGCCCGCCCCACGCGCATGCACAGATGCCTACTTGCCCCCACACGCATGCATGCACCTCTGCCCACCTCCCATATGCATGCATAGACACCCACCAGCACGCCTGCTCCCTGCACCACCCTCCGGTTCTTGGGAGAATGATCTTCAACTAAACCGGTCCCTGGTGTCAAAAAGTTTGGGACCCACTGAAATTACTATTGTATACTCATTGTTTTCAGCTTTAAATATTGACTTTCATTGATGTAAGCTGCCTTGGGTGTTTTTAAGGAGAAAGGCACAGATAGGTAGGTAGGTAGGTAGGTAGGTAGGTGGCTGGCTGGCTGGCTGGCTGGCTGGATGAATCCTAATACCTCAAATCCCTGAAAACATACATTATAGTACTTTCATATATAATGCACTGTCACTTCATACTGCTGGTCCGAAATGTGCTTAATCAAACAAATTTGCATCTTCATAACGCATAATGGTCAAGATTCAACATCTTGAATCCTGTGCCAGTGGAACTGCTGACTTTTTCCCTCTCTTCTACCTTGTATACCTTAAACTCCTGTCCTTCAGGGTTTCCCAATTAACTTAAGCAGTTTTCTACAGTGCATAGGGGTGAGGGTTCAGGAGGGAGTAGAGATTGAGGAGTATTGTGGAAGCAGGAAGAACTGGCAGAAGTACACAGTTATATTTTGGCCTGTTAGTACATTGGACAGTGCTTTTTAAAGCTATAGCTCTACACCAGGCATCTCCAAACAGTGGCCCACGGGCCACATCTGGCCCACCTTGCCTTTTTATCCGGCCTGGCAGGCAAGCAGGTGCATGTGTGCCTGTGGCTGGGAATGGACATTTTCAGCCCTCAAAAATGTGGAGCATATACTGTATGATGTGGCCCTCCCACTGAAAAGTTTGGAGAACCTGCTCTACATAATTCAGATGTCCCATAGTGGTCTTGAAAAAAGTTAATGAGGAGTTTAAGAATATGCATGTTCTCAAAAGTGTGCCTGTGTAATGGTACAGCTATAAAATAAAACATAAGAGTATAAAACAGAATTAATATTTTTTCTTTATGGTTATGCATTAACTAGGTTTTTTTAATGTTGACACAACTGAAAGCTCCAAATGGTTTGACAAACTTGGCTAGAACTAGAGCAGGAAAGCCTAATTTAGAAATAGGCACATTTATTATAATGTAATAGACAATATATGTGCCATTTCTATCTTTACCCAGCCTTCATTTCCCTCTCCTTCCTCTGTTGTCTTCTGTCTGTTTTTATCATGTAAGCCTGATAAGGTTTACCTGTCAAACTGGTTAGACACGAAACAAAACAAAAACAAAAAAGACAAAAATGTTTTGTCATCTTAAAGCCTAACTGCTATATTTTAATGTGATCTTTCATTGATCCAGTCCAGTTTGTTAGATATAGGACCGAAACTATATGGCAATCATTTATGAGGGGGTGCTGATAAGTATTGAGCCTTTCCCAGAAAAAAATGAGCTAGGAAGTTGTAACTGCCACACTATTCTACATATTCTCCCAGGAAGTCAATGCACTGACAATATCTGTCCTGCAACTTCTTAAGTACCTGCAAATAAAATTCTTCCGACTGCTGGTGTAACCACTCATTTGCAGCATTAGTTGCCTCCAGAACACTCCCAAATCGTTGTCCATTTAGGTGTTTTTTGAGTTTGGGAAACAGATAATAGTCAGAAGGAGCCAAGTCAGGAAAATAGGGTGGATGGGGCATCACTTGAAAGCCTAAGGATGTCAGTTTTGCCATTGTTTCACCTGCAGTGTGTGATGAGGCATTGTCATGCAACAGGATGACACCTTTGGAGAGCTTTCCTCGACGTTTTTCCTTGATGTTTTGCTTCAATATCGTCAGTAAAGCAGAGTAATATTTTGCATTGATGGTTGAACCCTGTTGGAGGTAGTCCACCAGCAGAACTCCCTTCTTATCCCAAAAAACTGTTGCCATTTGCGTCTGCACTGACCTTTGCACTCAGAACTTCTTTGGCCTGGGAGAACCACTGTGCCTCCATTCCTTAGACTCTTCCTTTGTCTCAGGGTCATAACAGTAGATCCATGTCTCATCACCAGTTACCAGTTTGCCCAAGAAATCTGACTCATTTCTTGCAAAATGTTCCAAAACAGCCACAGATGACTCCACACTTTTGTTCGGTTGTCAAGAGTTTGGGGATCCACTTTGCTGCCAGCTTTCTCATTTCCAAGTTGTTGTGGATAATGGCACCAACTCTCTCACGTGATATTCTCAGATATACAGCAATATTTTCGGCTTATATTCGGCGGTCCTCCATGATCACGTCATGGATGGCTTTCACATTTGCAGGCACAGAGACAGAAACAGGCCTTCCACTGGGTTTCTCACTTTCAACACCGAAATGGCCAGTTTTAAAATTGACAACCCAACGTTTAACTGTTGCATATGAAGGGCCACTGTCACCCATAATTTGTGACATTTCATCATGGATCTGCTTTCCACCTTTCCCTTGGAGAAACAGGAACTTGATCATGGTCCTATGCTCTTCCACACTGAACTTTTCTGGAGGTGCTGCCATGTTCACTTGGACCGGAAAATGAAAGTTAAGTTAAAATCATAGGTAGTTGATTTTGCACAATTGAATATAGACAAATTGGCCAATACACCCCGCAATTTATAGCTTCCTAGTTCAATTCGTATACATGGCCCCATGACAAAGTGAAAGAGATTAGTAGAAACAAGTTGCAAGTTGTGTGAGTCAATGTAGCCTTCTTTTTAAAGTGCCACAACATTTTTGTCTTCTTTATTTTTTTGTTGTTTTTTGGGGTTTTCCCCCCGTTTCTTGTTTGATATGCTTGCACAGACTAACACACCTACCACTTTGAAAACTGTCAAAACTTGTATTTGTAAAGCACCAAGGACACAGATGGTACATTAAAAATGATAAAATAAAAATAACTATTTGTTAAAATGTTTGCACTTCTAAATAAAAATGCAGTACCTTGATCCTTTCTCTCTAACGCTTCCTTTACTGATTGAAGAAGATCGCCCTGGAGATTCTGGCTTTTCATCCATCAACCTATCAAAATTACAAAGTATCTTATTTCTGTTTGACTAAAGTAAGGCACTGGAATTCTTAAGGAGTTGCACACACATCACATAAAGGGCAATTGGAAATGATGTTAAGAACCCCTAGATACCTCCCAAGAAAAACCCAAAGATGGAACACCATGCCCTCTTGCATGCTAAATCAAATACTGAAAATTAGCTCCTATGCCTTGTTTTATAATAATTCAATTCCTCTTGCTTTTTCCAGTGACTTACATGTACATGGCTCATCAAAACAGATACAGCTATCAACATAAATTAGTTCATCTGCATCTGAAAGAAGTTATTATGTAGGCTGTAAAGCTAGCTTCTATTTAGTATAGCAATATCCAGTACTTTCAAACTTCTCACAAGTTCCACCATCATTACATAATCCAGCAGAAGTACCATGGTCTACATTGATTTGCATAGGGGGTGGGGAAACTGTTGGTGCAGGACAAAGGTTGGTCTGTCCTCTAATAAGAATTTTTGGTGCAGCAATTCCCTATGAAGAATTCAACCACAAAAAATAGTTTTGAAAATGGTCACACCAGTGAATTGACACTTTCCCTTGACATATGGTTATATCACAGCCACTATTGTGGATGGAACACAGCAGGGTGTAGACAGAGAAACAGTAAGATAATCCTCAGAGTATCAGAAAGGTAAACTGCAATCTCACTCATAGTTCACAACAGAAAAACAATGGCTCAGCTGAGATCAGAGACTTCTGACCAAAAAGCCATCACCTATTCCAGCCTCTTCTTGCGCCTTCAAAGCACTATGATTTCTACTTTGTATGGAGATATTACCAGTCATTTGTCATCATGAAGATGGACTCAAAATAATTAGATTCAGGTATGGATAACACCTGGATGAGAGACTGCTGGAACCTATGTAAGTCCTCTGGAACTCAATGGAGAAGAGATGAAATATAATTTGTTATTGCTGGACCAGAAAAGGTGTCTTGCTTTGGGTAAGGAAATGGATTTGAGCTAGCCAAATACTAACAAGTGAATACATTGGCAATAATGTATTCATTTATATAAGCCAAAAAAATGTCCTCCCTCTTCTTAATATTATTCCCCAGTGCCTTAAAAACAAACAGTCCTGCCCCAGAAAAAGAAAGGAAAGCCTATAACATAATAGCAATGGCAACAATGGGAGGCAGCATGAACAGTGAAATGGGTCTAGAATAGGTCAGTTGCACTTAGGTCTCTTTGAAATCAATATGAAATATTACAGTGCAATCCTATATATGTGATTGAGAAGGAGGCTCCAATAACTCTAGTAGGATCTGTTGAATCAGGAAATCATCACTTAAAAATCTCATTGATTTCAAAGGCACTTCAGTGCAACTTGCTTTGTGTGGACAAGCAGCATAGCAATTTACTCAGTATTAAACACATGCCTGTGTGCATCTGCAGGCACACACACAAAATTGGCTTGGAAGAAGAGGAGAGAAACAGCCAGTCCATAGTGCTACAAACCAGATGTGACTGACAGTAAAGTACAGAAATAAAAGTTTTTTGCAAGAATGGCAAATACGTTTCATTTCACGCTTGAATGAAGATCTGCATCAGGAGGAAATAAACATGTCTGTTGATGTCATTATTATCTAACAGGTTTTTTATTATATTGTATAGTGTTATATAAAATTCATGTCTGGAAAACTCTTGAGTGATTATATTAGATGAGAAAAAAGGCAGGAGGATGGTCTTTGCCATGTCAGGAAATCCCCAGTAGGGGAAGGAAGACTCAAGTACTGCCAGGTATCTTTTGCAGAATTACACAGCCTATGCCAGCCTTCCCCCACCCAGTGTCCTTCAGATGTAATGGACCATAATTCCCATCATCCTGAAAAGTACTGCCTATGGGCATGCTCACTGGGGCCAAAAAGATAATTTGCCAGGGTTCTCCCTCCGAGAGCTCAGGTTTTGGGAACCCCCATCATTCTCAAGCAGCCAGCACAGCCAACAGTGAGTTACTATAGACGTTACAGGCCAGCAACATCTGCAGGGCCACATGAAGGCCAAGAACACCTGGAGGCACATATATTTCATATCTTGGCCCGTATTCCTTCTTTTATGGATTATTTTATATGTAGCTGACAATGTTAATTATTACATGTTTCTAAAATATGATACATTGCCTGAAATCCAGTAGTCCCAGTGAATCAAGGGAACTTATGGAGGAACTGACTTACCAGTTCTCCACTGTTTCAATGGGCCTACTCTAGTAGTGACTAACTGCTGGATTTCAGTCACTGATTGATAAGACAGTATGTTATTTCATAGATTCAACCACGGAAACTGTCTATGGACAAACGCTGGCTCTACGGCTTGGAAACGGGGATGAGCACCGCCCCCTAGAGTCGGACATGACTGGACTAAATGTCAAGGGGAACCTTTACCTTTACCTACCCTTCAGAGACAGCATAAACTTGCAACATTTATTGAATATGGGGATGAAATTGTCCAGTAAATAGCTAGCAGTACCTCATGCTTTTCTTTTAATCAATGACATTAACATATAGGGATTGGTGGGCTTCCCACCTCCCCTCCCAATAAAAAATGAATGTTCAAGAAGATGGAGAATGAGGACCACTGAAGCCTAGGAAGGTTGCTATGTATAAAAAAACAAAAAACAAGAGCCCACTTTTAAGTCAGAAACAATTAATGAGAATATGCTCAAAGATGAGCAAATATAAAGGAAATCTATGCCTGGGAAAAGACATTATGCATCCTAGAAGATGCAGGTTGTATAAACTTTAAGCTCTAAATCAGATGTGATATAAACCTATTTTTGAATCCTACAGTTGTGATCTTCCTCTGTTTTTGAAACACACTTAAGCTTCAGTCTAATCCAAGCCTTGCCCCTAATCCTTCCCACACCACAACCATTTTCCTGCCCCAAATCCTCCTTTCTCAAAGCTCCTGTTTGCTGCAACAGCAGCATTAGGATAATTTGGGAAGGGGGTCATTTAGTGCAAAGACAGATTAGCCATCATTCTAATTTGAACTAAATTCTCCCCATGGCCGATTAATGTTTTTAAAAGGAGAAAACCAACCAAAGGAATGGTTAAGGCCACATTAACGCTAAATGAGTTTAGAATCAGAACACAAATCAAGAAGCAAGATGAAGCTACATATATGTAGCAAAAACCGTATCATGATGATGAGAAGAGGAACAGATGAAGAGAGGAACTCATGTCAGAATTGGTACAGCAAGATTTCAAATGGGACAGGAAAGTATTTGGTTACACTTTTGGTAACAAGACATCTTTGGGCAACACAGCAATGTATTTCTTTACTCTGAATTTTCACAGTTTCCTTGGAGCACATAATTTATCACATTCAGAGGGAAAAAGAATTATCTATAAAATTCAAATACATACGTGGTTCTTTCTCTGCTAGTTTTTCTAATAGTGCTGCCAGAAGAAGACCCAGTTCGGCTGTTAGATGTCTCTTGTGTTGTTTTTTCCTCCGACAGAACAGAAAGAGCTGAGGCTTCACTGAAACAATAAAAGACACTGTATAACCCGTAATGCAGCCAAGTACAGTGGTGCCTCACTTAACGATGTTATGTGAAAACATCGTTAACTGAAACACCATTTCCCATAGGAATGCATTGAAAACCGGTTAATCCGTTCCAATTGGAATGGACTAATGCGTGCAATCGTTAGTCCACCTTGTGTAATGCATGCAGACTTAATTTGGTGTTGTTCTGAGGTGTGCAATCGTTAGTCCGTCCAATGCTTTTCAATGAGAGAGAAAAAAAGTCACCAAAAATTAACGAAGACTCAGAACAACACCAAATTAAGTCTGCATACATTACACAAGATGGACTAACGATTGCAAGCATTTAAAACAGGTTTCAAACAGTTTAAGACACTTTCACAGGAGCGAAAACAGACATCGTTGAGTGAAAATCCCCCATAGAGAACATCGTTAAACGATGGGGGAAATTCCTCAAAGAAACCCATCGGTAAGCGAATTCTTCATTAAGTGAGGCAATCATTAAGTGAGGCACCACTGTAGTTTTACATGACCATGTATATCATTTCAGCTGTAAAGCAGGCAACTGATGTTTATCTTTCCCTCTTCTCATTCAAGACTTTACAACTGCTTCTAGCTGCACCACTGTACATTGCTGTGCACCATCGTATCAGCCAAACCTTGGCTTCTATAAAAGAATAATAGATATCCACATCACTAATATAAAACTGCAAACCACACATCTTATTTTATTTTCCCAGTTCAGGGAGCTTCACTTCTGAAGACATGCTAACTGTTGCAATATCCACGCAGAAGACATTCATTATAGCATAGAGGTTTAGTATAGCATGCAGCACCTACGTATACTAAGTGAACAGGTGCACCTACATCTAGGGTGTCAAAAAGATATATATAAAGGCTGGATGTTTTGAGTCAAAGAGCCTCAGCAGAGACCTAGATCACAGGAGGTGCTGAGCAACTAACTACTGGTTCCAGGGTTTGTCCACTCCTGTTCTGCAAGGGCTGCCAGCAAGCAGAAGGGACATGAGATTGCTTTCTTTGCTCATATTTTCTGCTTTACCGTCTCTTCCACAAAGGTTTGGTATGTTCACTGTCTCTGAATTGAGGACAAGCTTTTATTAGCCTTGACAAAACAACTGTACAATCTCATTTGGGATTAAGACAACCAGATCTATCATCATTCTGGTTGGTTTGTGTGGAGTATTTGAAAGAGAAATGATATTTAAAATATAGGAAATTATACATCATCATGCCTCACAGACAATGTCTCTGCCTTTTTATTGCTCCTTTTATATTTGGCATATTCCCGTCTTCCTCTTCTTCCTCTTCCTACCATTTCTGTGCCTATGGCTGTATTTGTCCTTGGACATTTCCTTTTATTTACCGCAATTGGCAGGGCAGAAAGAAGCTGACAGACAAAAGTCTTTGGGGCAGCTCTCCATGTGGATGTGTTAGATATAGAGAGGAAGACAGCAAATGAGGTTTTCAGTGGTTTCCAGGCCAGGGATTCCTTTGGAGCAGATCAGGCCTGGACTGATTACATTGGGTCCCTATAATAATATAAAAAGGGAACAGTTGCAGATGGTACAAAGCCCACAGCTAATGATGAGAGTAATGGTTGTTCTGGGTTTTTGGGGCTCTTTGGCGTGTTCTGAAGATTGGCAGGGCATCAAGAAGCTAACGTTTCGCCAGTCTCTGTGGCCGGCATCTTCAGAGGACAGCAACCTGTGCTCTAAGAGCCCGAAAAACCCAGAACAACCATTAGATCCAAAGCCTTCGCGAATATGATGAGAGTAATCTCTGCCTAACTATTCTGGGGTCCAAAACTGAGAGAGAATGAAAGCTTAGTAGAACTCGCCCAGAACAACCATTAGATCCCGGCCGTGAAAGCCTTCGCGAATATAATGAGAGTAATCTCTGCCTAACTATTCTGGGGTTCAAAATTGAGAGAGAATGAAAGCTTAGTAGAACTAGGCTGCACCACAGCCCCTCAGAGCCTATTTTGATCTTCTATAATGACACAGAAATGGAGCATTATCTCAGCTATCTGGTGTAGAGGCACTCTGGAGCTACACCTAGCTGGGTTTTATTGGTATTTCTTTTCAATTATGTTTGTTTGGTCAGAGGCTGATTTTTTAAAAATTCGATATCAGCTTCCGCATAAGCTGCCTTTACATTACAGGCAGAATATAAACATAAGACATAAAATGAATGAACTTGTTCAATGTAAAGATGATCCTTTTTGTGCGTACAGGAGATTCCAGGTTATTTTCTGTCTTTTGCCTCAAACAAGCTGCTGCTGATCAAGGTAGGTTTTATTAGGCAGTAATTGCAAAGCTACGGCCTACCTATAATGAACATGCTCAAAATATGGATCCTTATGCAGTCAAATCAGCACCATACTGACAGAAGAGGGGATCATTAGAACCTTGAGGGAACCCCAACGTTTACAGAAGTACAACAAAAATCCTCGGGCAAACATCTTCCCAGGACTAGGGAAGCTCAAAGCGGTCCAATTGGGACTGAGCATGCTCTGTGGGCCTGGAATGCTGATGGTGGTGGAAAAGGAGAACAAAGGGAGGGCAAAAGGAAAGAAGACAAGGTTGCAGGACTGAAATGTACTTCGGAATATGTTGTTGGTGGCCCTATTTGTAAAATAAATAATCCTCAGTTTCATGCATCACACAATCCCTGACAGATTAGTGTTTAGCAGACTCACGGTTCAGGTGACTTAGCATTTATTAAGATTATAGCACGACGGTCATTAAGCTCCTGAGCGCTGAGTTCTTCTAACGATAACAGCTTTATGCCCAGTTTTACCTATTGGAAGATCAGAATGAAACAAGATATAATCAAATTCCCCCTCAATGGAACGGACAAGGTTAGCACTGGCATCATTTTCATATAATGCTTCACTATAGGCTGAGCCTACACAAAGCTTCAGTTTCACATGGTCTTTACTCCTCTTCCTCCCACTTGCTCTGGAGGAAGAACAAATATGAATTCCACTTCACTTCAGTTGTCTTCTCATCTGTTGTTATTTGGAAACCCAACATTGTGAAATAAATTCTGGTTTGCTAAACAAGCCAGCTTAGCAACCCAGAGTCTGATGTTGGTTTGTTCAGTAACTGATTAGATTTTTTTTAATGACAATTTCTGATTCTCAGAAAACAAGCCAGGAAACTTGCAAAAGTGACACTGAATCCTGATCCATTTTTCCTCCACGGAGAGGAAGGGCGTCACATGGGGAGGAGGGGCTTTCTGCTCATGCACACAGCATTAAACTATGATTTAATATTAAGCAGGAATACTGCCTCTCTCCGAGCAGACAAATCAACTTATACACAGAAAAGGCAGATTTTGTAAAAATAAATAAATTAAATTGTACACTCTCACTTTTGTTAATATTTTGAATGATTTTGCTTATTTAATGCGCCTCTATAAGATAATTATTTTAACAAGCAGCATTATTAAGATGTACAAAATAAAGGTTTTTATAGATTCATACTTCTAAATTCATAAATCCCACTGTTAGTTCCAATTAGAGTGGACCCAGTGAACCATTGGAACTTGGTAAATCACCGCATGTGTAGATTCTATTGATTCAATGGGCAATCCAGTCTGAGACTACTGTATTAGATTAAGCCCTATTTCTTTTTGCCTTTTTTAAAAATAGAGAAAATATCACATATATAAACATATATTTGTTATGTGCCTTCAAGTTGGAACTGACTTATAGTGAGTCTAACAGGGCTTTCAAGGTAAATGAGATATTTAAGGAGTTGTTTTACCAGGTCCACACCACCAGTGAATTTCTATAATTGAGTGGGGATTCTAATCCAGGTCTCATGAATCCTGTTCCATTACTCTATTCATTACACCACACTGGTTATCTATAAACATGTGTAACAGATATAAAAATAGTGTGTTAAAAACAGGTAACTAAAGTGAATCAGAAAAGCACATTGTTTTAGTTCTGTTCCTCCAAGACTCACACCAGCATTATGACTCCTAGCAATTTAAAGAGAGCTAACAGACATTTTCTCCTTATCTAGAGTATGGATTGCATTGCTTGATTTTTATAAGCAACTTGAGCCTATGGGAAGTGCCTCAAGAGCCATTAATATTGTGTTCCTCACTTCTGGAGATTTGCAACATTTTTATAATACCGTATTTTTCGCACCATAAGACGCACCTTTTCCCCACAAAACAGGGGGGTGGAAAGTCTGTGCGTCTTATGGAGCGAAGAAAACAGATTATATTTTCCTGTTTTCTTCTCCTAAAAAATGGGTGCATCTTATGGAAAGGTGTGTCTTATGGAGCGAAAAATACGGTATTTGCTTAAGTTAACAATGTAAAGAAAGAATTATGGTAACTTGAGGCAAATATTTTTCTGCCAGGCAGCAGTTCTGCCATCCAATATTCAGTCCCCAGCAAAAAAAACACCCTACACCTAAAGATGCTTTCAGTCTTCTGTTCCTCTTTCTTCTAGAACTGTTTTGTTTTTTACACACACACACACACACACACACACACACACACACACACACACAAAGCAAGAGAGAGCTTGTGAGTGAGCTAGCAAAAGAGACAATGAGTGTGAGAGAGAGAACAATGATATGGCAATTCTGAGGAAGTGACAATGTAATGCTACATCATGGGTATATTTGGATATTAATGAACAATTATGGCACATCATTGCAGAAAAGGGCCTCAGAGTGCATGCTGTGTCTTCTCTCCTCCTAGGCATTTGGAATTCACCAGTTTGCTTTCATTTTCAATGGTCGTAGTTTGCTGTTAGATTTGAACCTTAATCTGTGGGTTATCATAAAAATCACTCACTGAAAATTGCTTCAGTAAACCATTCTTAAGAGTAATCACAGTTTGTTCAAGTTCGGACATAATCAGTGTTTGGAAAAATAATCTTTCCAGACTGGACTATCTAGAATCCCCTGGCTGGCTGTGGATTCTGGGAACTGTAGTATGAAAAAGTAACCTTTTGAATATTTTTCCATATTGCAAAACTGCAGTTACTTTTTAAAGAACCCCAAAATTTCCAAGCTCTTCCTTGCACACCAGAGCAGCAGAAGAGAGGCTACAATATGAGTTTCAGACTCCTCTGAGCCCATTCTCATAACAATAAAAGGTGGTGTATCATCACAATGCATTGCTTTGGATGGGAAAGAGGAACAGACAAGGGATTATTTCATGGATATAGTCTTGTCTAGCTATGACCTCTGCAGGTACTGTGGATGCATTATGTTTGCAGGACCCAGTTTTCCTGTCAAAGTAAGAAGATTTTTAAGATACTACCTGTCCATAATCATAGAACCCATCTGTAATTATATTACTGGAGGACAAATAGCCCATTTGACTGTATTTTTGGGGAAGGTTGTGGTCCAGTATTTTGTCCAAAGCAGCTTCACTAAAATGGTTTTTTCGCCCAATAGACAAGTTAATTTCTTGAAGAATGTCCAAAGCACTGTGCCAAAACAAACAAGCAAGCAGGTAAAAACATTTTTAAAAGTTGACCCAATTTGAAATACAACAGCTTTACTTTCTACCATAATATCATTCTTCTACATAAAGACTCAACCTGAATTAGTAGTATGGCCTAAATTAATTGTCACTTTCACCTTCTCATGGTATTGCATATACCATATTTTTCCATGTATAAGGCTATACTTTTGTCTAAAATCTTTAGACTAAAAATTGAGGGTCTTCTTATACACAGAAGCAAGCTGAGGAGAGAACAAAAACAAGTGGAGGGAAAGCAGGGATCAAAGTGATCCTGCAGCGCTTTGATCCCTTTCCCCCTACACTTGCTAATCCCCACTTAGATTTTGGATTAGAAAAGTGGAAGGCGTCTTATACATGGAAAAATACGGTACTACAACAGTTGCATAATAGCTACAGTCCTGAGAGAGTATGCTTGCCTGGGTAACTAGAATAGCGCTACTTTATAACTTAATTTGGTAACAGTCTTTCTCCATATTATTTACATTCATTTGAAAACTGGAAATATTCATTTCATAACCCATACTCCAATATACTATATAACAGAATAATAATTACCTGTCATCAAGCCAATTCTGTCTTACAGCAACCCTTTCCAGGGTTGTCTAGGTACAGGATACTGAAAACTATGCAGCTTGTCCAAGGCTACACAGGCTAGCTCCTCTCCCATGAGGAAAGAGAGGAATTCGACTTCTAATCTCTGCAGCCAGATACCTAATTCACTCAGTTATGCAGCCAGTTATGCTACACACTAATTTTCTGAAGATGAATTCCTATGTACCCAAAATAGCACCCTTCCCTGCATAAACGGGATCAGGCTTGGTTTGCACAGGTAACAAAACATTTTAAGAAAGATGGGAGGTGGTGGAATCAAAAATGTTTTAGTGAGGACTGAACATGTTCAGTAGCCATGGAATGCTGGCTCAGGAAAGGGGTGACAGAAAACTAGAGGGCCGTGTGTAGAATGCAGTTTTCTGGAAACTTCACGTTTGGCTGGCTGGCATACCAAACACAGACACCCTAGACCGTCAACATTTTGTTTGAGACTCCCTTATAAATCCACATATATGAGCTAAAATAACCTCTGTTCTCAGCATCTTCTGCACCCTTTTTACTCACCCTAGCCTGGTCATTTCTGCTGCTGTTGGCTCGTCACCAGCACAAACCATAACAGCCCAGCAGGCATGTCTTCGGACTTCATCATACTTAGAATGTAAAAGCTTCACAAGAGGATCTAGACCTCCTGAGTTCCGCAACTAAAAAGACAGGCAGAGTGAGAGATGTACATACACACCCTTTTACACAACACACACATACATTTCTACATGGTTCCTTCATGGTAAAGGCTGTATTCATTCAAGATTGCCACTAAACGCCTTCTATTATTTATTATTTATATGCCACCTTTCTTCCAATAAGGAGATTCAAGGTGCCTCAGAATATTAAAAGGAGTAGAATTAAGAACATAAAAGATTTTTAAAAATTAAACTATATGCTAATCAAGATACAATTGAATAAACATTAAAAACAATCTTAACTTTAAGAAGAGGCTGAACAATTAAACTGAGGCTAAACAATGAAGTTATTTATTATTTATATGCCACCTTTTTTCCAATAAGGAGATTCAAGGTGCCTCAGAATATTAAAAGGAGTAGAATTAAGAACATAAAAGATTTTTAAAAATTAAACTATATGCTAATCAAGATACAATTGAATAAACATTAAAAACAATCTTAACTTTAAGAAGAGGCTGAACAATTAAACTGAGGCTAAACAATGAAGGCTGTACCTCAGTTGGACCTTCCTCACACATTATTTTCTGTTGGCCATAGAAAAGGAAACCATGCAAAGAGTGCCACAGGAATTCCTTGTACGTTACGAACCAAAAGAGACAAAATAGTTAATGTAGAAGCACGTGCCTCACCTCAGCTCTTGCCTCAGCATCACAAGCAAGGGCAGCCACAGCCAGAGCTGCTCTGCTCTGCACAAGGCTGTTGCTGGAATGCAGCGGCTCAACGATCGCAGTCATCATATTGTGGCTCTGAATGGCGAGACGCAATGGCTCCTGGGCAGCCAAGTTTGTGAGAACAGTGGCCGCGCTAGCCACAGCCCCATCTCTCTTTGCGCTTAAGACACTGATCAGTGGTTCAATGCCATCAGCTTCAGCAACAGCACTAGGAAAAGTGGTTAAAATGGGGGGGACCCCAAGCTAAGTTAGGTTTTAAGTTGGGAAAGAAAGCATGCTCAGTGTGGGCACATAAACCACACCGACTGCTGCAACTTCAGAAGTTCAATAGCTCCACATATCAGGGTTGAAACATTCACAGCACAATCCTGTGCAGACACTAGAGCCCTTGTCATTGAGCCTATCAGGCCAGGCCTGATAGGAGGTATATTTTAACATCTGGAGGGCCAAAAAGTGCCCATTCCTCCCTAGATACATGTAAGATTGTTCTGTAAGGCTGCAATCCTGTGCCAACTAATGTAGGAGTTAGCTAGTAAAACTGAGCACTTGTGTGAGTGGTTTCCTCAGCTACGCAGATTATGGCAAGCTATGAGATCATATGCACACTTCTCTGAAAGTACGTTCTACTGTGCCTAGTAGGATTAAGCCTGCATAGGCACAGTATACCTCCTTATAATGATCCATTGGTCCATCATTGAAATCCTAGTCATACTGTGTTGCTAAAGAGGGTTCATGATGTTACAATCTGAGATGGAACAGAAGAAAATAAAGAAGAGCTGGTATTTATTTGAAATAAGATTGTGAAAAATGGAAAGCATCCAGCTGGAACCCACATACAGAAGAGACACTTTGTGGGACATGTACAGAAAAGAGATGCTTCAGGATGGGCCTTTAAAAGACAAAAAACATTGCTTCATAGCATCCTATCCCAAGAATATATTTTTATTCAAAATAAATAATAGAATGATTTATAATGTAACAATTTCACCCATCTTAACAAAGCCAAGTCAATGAAGCAAAATATTCCTCTAAAATGATAGTAGTTATGTGTGTTTATTACTTTCTCAGAGAAAGCTGAGATTGAATATGGCTTGACACATTCTTACAAAAAGAAAAATCCAGGAACCAGCCAAGAGGGGGAATAAAATATGGTGAGTTTATGTCACGACCTCTTTAAAACTGTTTAATTGAAAAGTATTACCTTACTCAAGTAAGCATTTATGTCAAACATAATAGGAAATGCTATTCTCTTCTCAAAGTTATGAATCATTTATATTGAAAGCACGTTTCCTGAATATTATCAACTGATAATGATGGGGAAAACACAACAATCAGCTCTCTGTTTCCTTTAGCTGAGTATGAGGGTTGCTCAAAACAATAATATGTCTTTTTTCCCAAAATCTTGTGTGACTGTCGCCAGCATTCGCTTATAGATAATAGATCTAATTCTAGTTCTTCTTCACTTTGAATGATTGTACAGTAGCATAAGCAATCAATTTCTTCCTCTTTTGTGGCTTCACAATATTATTTCTGTAAACAACATAAGGCGTATGCCCAACTGACTATCATTTCATAGTCATTTTATACTAGGCTCATCTGTTTGTTCAACAAAACTTGGCAAAGGCATTGACAGAGGAAATATACAGATGGAACTCTCAATTATCAATGTGCTCTCCTATTTACCTCCTAGTGGTGCAGCAGTACATATGCATATTTACTCAAAAGTAAGTCTCATGTATTAAATGAAGCTTACTCAATAATAAGTGTGATTATGTTTTTAAAAAAACACAACAGTGCAACCCTCTGCAGAAGAAATAACTCTCATTAAGCACAATGCATCTCACTCTCGAGTTAGCAGATATCAAATGTAATATATTGTTTATCCTTATTCATCAATGAAAGAAATGTAATACAGTATATTGTTTATCCTTATTCATCAATGAAAATCACACTCCAAAGTAGCTATTAATATCTTCTAGTTCAAAATCATATCTCCAAACTACAATTTACACTGCCTATTAAATGTTTCTGGGCCAGAATTATTTATAATAACTGGCATATCAGATGGCATTGGTCAAAATCCTGTTGTTTAATGTAAACCAAATTATAACTTTCAATCCATTCATGCTCGGTAAACAAACTGCCCCCCCCCCTGCAATCTCAGAGGGCACACAAACACACTTTGGCCTGGTATGTGTGTGTGCTCATGGCCCTTAAAATCATAGCAAGAACACTTTGTCTACTGGGGAGAAATGGACTAAAAATTATAATTTGGTTGACATTAAGCAACAGGATTTTGTCTATTAAGAAGCCAGTGCTTGTATTTCCTGTTGCCATCAGTCACATGACTAGGCATACAACAAGAAATAAAAGCTTTAGCTTCTTAACTGGTGACAATTTGCCACTGAACTATTTCCTGTTGCCATCAGTCACATAACTGGTGACAATTTGCCACTGAAATTTACACTTTTGGACTTACACCATCATAAGTGATAGAATTCTGGCTATGATTCTAGGGGATGGTGTGTTTGTTTTTGCATGCAATCAGACATAGAAGGCAAGCTGGAGAGAAAACACAGTTGGATAATTGACAGGTGTGTAGGTAGGGAAAAATTAGATACAAGTTATGTGTTGGAGGTACAGCATTTGCATTTAACATGTGTAAGAACATAAGCGCACAGAAACCTGTGCAGAAGACTTACAACTATTGAAGTGTTTTTATGAAACTAGGGAAAAAATCCCCCAATTTGAGAGACAGTAATTTTGGAAGCACAAGTTGGATGAGGCCTCAGAGGTAGATAATGGTTACTAAACTAAGACACATTCATGAATTAGTTATTAATATAAAGTAGAGATAGTCTAATGACCTCTGTGGATAAACCACAAATGATACAGTGAGTAAGTAAGGGAAAAAGCCTGGTTGTCTTTTTAAAGTGCAGGGTGTCCAAGGGAACCTTTGTGAAGTAAAACAGCTGCTTTTAACTGTTGTCATAATGACTTTAGGTGGGAGCCTTTTGAGAAGCCAGTGCTGGCACTTTATAGAAGTGGATGGCCAGTCTATGATCAGTGTTGTCTGCACTGACCACTACCATCTCCTTGGGATTTCAGACACTTGACACTTCACTTGGAGATGCCAGGAATGGAACCTGAAACTTTTTGCACACAAATCATATAGTATATTCTACTATTGTGTATACTCCTACTCCTTTTAGAAAGCTAATATTCATATCCCATACCAAGAGGTCTCATATTTTTAAAAGATTCTAATCCTGGGTACTTAATTTTTGAGTAATGCTTTTATAGCTAGAATAAAATAATCTTTTCTTCCACAATAGGAAACCTTTGAGGTGTTTTAAGGATTTTTCTCCTTCTTGTTATAGCCGCCTAGAGTGGTCCTGACCCGACCAGATAGGCGGGATAAAAATAAAATAAAAAATAAATTAAAAAAAATAAAATTTAAATCTAGGTCTTTCCAACCTCCCTGACCAAAGTCCCACAAAAGTGAAGGAAGGATTATATGCCCGTTGTCAGGAGCTGATTGTCTTCTATGGAGTCCTGTCCTAAAAAGATGTGCTATTGCCTACTACCATTTTTTTCCAGTCTGACACTAGGGGTCAGTGTTGAGTCACATTGCAACAACAAAGACCAGCTATTTTGTCCCAAATTTCAAGAATGTAAATACAGTATTAATCATAGCTAGCTCACTTATGGAGAACAATTAATGTACTATTATAAGTAACATCAAGTCATCTTTACTATGTAGGATTCAGTGGAATGTACAAAAATAGTACTATAAATTATCAAATCATCTTCAAAAATAGAGTTCTGTTGAATAGTTACAAATACTATAGGCATATATTTAATAGACACAAACACTGTTCCACACAAATACTTATGTGTTATTCATAAAAGTATATCTTTTCTAGCATTATTTTAGTGTTGATAAATAAGATGCCTTTAACCTTGCATGTTAGAGAATGGATAGGTTTGCTTGGAGGGGTACATGTGGGAGGATGTAGTTATTGTCACTATTATCTGAAATTTCCAATGGGTGTGAGGCATTTCTGATGAGTGCACAATTCATGCTTGCAGTTTTGAACCAGTGTCACTCTGGAGATGGCTTGCGACTTTTCTGACCATCTACTCTTTGTGCCATAAATATTAAAGTCCGATATTAAGTTGAAAGACCAGTAGAAGAGAGTAGTTGCACTACTGACACCATGCAATTTAATTACAGCATGGCCCTCATACATCAAATGGAACACGGACAAGAATGCTTTCTGACCACCTTTCATAAAAGATTCCATCCTTGTTCTTCTGATAAACTGGAATTCCAAAGTGCTGCTTACGTAAACAGCTGGAGACTTCCAAGTAATTATGGTGATGAAGATATTCCAGCCGTTCCATTTGGAAGAGTGTCATTCCTCTGCCTAACATGACACTTAACAATACTGGTGTTTCATTTGTTTCAAAGCCCTTTTGTGTTTGCTCTGCAATAAGACTTTCAAAATAACACCCCCACTCCATTCCACCTGACAGAACTGTCTTTACTAAACTCACTTTCAGTTAAAGCCAGATTTGTATGATTTTCCCAATTTTTGGAGAATTCCGGGAGTTTACTTTTTTTTAAAAAAAAATGGCACATCCCTAAAAGTTGCATTGTGCCCCAGCCAGCATGGCCACTGAGTAGCCCATCCTGCCTGATGTATTCTGTATATTTTAGGGTTTTTTTTTAAGTAGCATCTCTTACCTCTGTTCACTGTCTTCAGCTCTCTGTAGCAGAAAGCACTGTGTCTATGAAGCCTTTGTTTTAACTCCCTGTTGCTGACGCCCAAGTGTGACAAAGCCTTAAGTACATTAAAACTGCATTTGCCCACACTCCTTGCTTATTACCTTTATGCCAAACTAAATTACAGTAATTAATGTAGAGCATGATGGCTACGACTAATGAGTGTTGCAGTTCAAAAGATAAGTTAGCCACCAAGTTGCACATCTTGGTGAATATCAACTTATAAGCAACCACTTTTTGGTTATGAATCCGTGTTAGCCTATGTATAGCTAACAGATACAAATAATAAATATTTATCAAAAACCTAGTTTAGGGCAGCTTTTAGTTCCACATAAAAGGTTCCAAGAGAATAAAGGCAATTTTTTAACCCTTCATAATCAGGATAGATCAAATTCATCTACCCCGGTAACCTCTATGTA